AACTGTGATCACTGTATATCCTGACACGTTCTGTCAGAAGGAGCTGACTGAGCAGAGCTCCAGTAGTGACTTGTCACTTGATAAGAACCATATGGACAGCCTTCACTCTCTGCATCTGTTACTTGTCGCTTGTTAACCACTGTACATCACTGGACCCACTTTTGATAGCTACTGATCACTGCTGACTACGAAAAACACAATTTGCCATCAGACTCATCAACTTTAAGGGCAAATGTGTCAATTGTTACCTGTTACAACTGGTCAAAAACCTACCCACTAACAGGTGTTATATGGAAACACTAACAGACTGTTATAGGGAAAAAAATAAGTTGTTAATATGATCCACCAATCTGTTTGAAGTCAATGTGGATAGACTGCTTCTACTATGTGATATTCTACCACAAAAAATTTATATTTTTTTCCCATTTTTCTCCCAAGCAATGGAGATGAGAGCAGTGACAGGAGAGATAGAGGAATCACAGCTCTAATCTTGAGGATTTGGTGTGGATTAATAAAGACTACACACTTAAAGAGTCAAATTTGGCCAATAACACAATCTTTATTCATTGTGGGAGGACATACAATGCTAATGTTATTCACTTCAGGTCTTGCAAATGCTAAAAGGTCGAAGGTTATCTCTACCTGTCGCTCTAATTCAATAAAACCACTTCTTAGAGGAAAATTATAGAGATGAAAACATAATTGTGCTTGAGAAAACCATCTCCGCCTCCTCTGGACCAATGATCAGCGCTGACACTGGAACACGTGCGGTGCCTGTGATAAATGTGGGATGTCCCGTAGTGGTTTTCATTACATTCTTGTGCCCAGAGCTAGGGAACAATGGCGCTAGATTAAACAGCGCTCCTTCAAGACAAATCATTAGTCTTCTTCACTCTCTCTCCCCTGTCAGTCTGCCTCTCGATCGCCCAAGTCAAGGTCGTTTGTAAGTCACAGATTCTGAATAAAAGCGAGTCGGAAGAATGGCCAGCTGTCCTATAGGGATTCTGACACTAATACTAACCATTTATACTATGATGTGCTATTCATTTAAAGCCATTTTCATTCAAATCAGGCAACCCAGAAGCCTCAGACAGGGGTGTGTGTATGCGCCAGGATAGTCACAAGGGGGGGCAAAATAACAGGAACATTATCAAAGTAGCCTATTCCCAGAGCTCGGCAGCTGCTCGCGTGTGGTATACGATTGCATTTGGCTTTCATCACCCCACAGAGAGACTGGGAGACTGCGTAATGGAAAAATGACCCAGATCAGTACAAAGATGAGTGCGAAAGAGGACGTGTTCGACTGGGCTACGCGCTGTACATTTGACTTCCCATTTAAAAACACATGCAAGTCTCTGAAGAGAGGGGAGCAGTTAAGAGCAGTGAGGAGAGGAGGGGTTAGATGTTACAGATTTCAGCATTGTAAGAGAAGCGGGCCATTAGTACAAGTAAAAGTAAGTAAAGTTCTATTAGATTAATATCAGTGTAGTTTTTTTAAGCCATGAGCGAAGAGTATAGTAAAGTGTTAAAGATGGACTGTGTAACCCCACCTTCTTGTATCCATGGAAATGTTATTGCTTTGCCTGGAATGAGACAAGCAAGTAATGCCATCAGGCCAAGTTACAGGTCAGGTCTGTGGAGAAGTGACAGAGGTGTGGACTTGCAAGTCATGACTTTGACTCAAGTCAGACTTGAGTCACTATTTTTAGGACTTGAGACTTGACTTGATAAAATGGACTAAGACTTGGGACTCGACTTGGACATGAAGGTCACTGACTTGGGACTTGACTCAGACTTGTGGCCTGTGACTTGAGAAGACTTGAGAAGCATTTTTAAATCTGAATTCTTTCTATTCTGATTATAATGATTCACTCTAAGATCTTGTCAAGGCATTTAAAAAGGAAAGATTTGCATTTCTACAACTCTTATATACTCTGTAAATACTCATATAAATATACCATGACTTTTTAAGTATAATTTTATTTAAAATTCATATAAATTGCAAAAATCTAAGCTATCTTTGATACTTTGGTTTAAAGAAGTGAAATGACTTGAAGCTCAAACGGACGATTTGGACTTGACTTGGACTTCTGTGCCAGTGACTCGAGACTCAACTTGGACTTGCCTGTATTTGCCTTGGGACTTGACTCGGACTTGAGGTCAAAGACTTGAGACTTAGTTGAGACTTGCAAAATGACGACTTGGTCCCACCTCTGAGAAATGATCATAATGGGAATGGGATTGTTTTTCAAGGTATTTTCAGCAATAAAAAACTCTTGTAATTGAATAAATAGAAGATAAGATTAATTACATACTGTGGAATATTCCAGGCAAAGCAATATCATAGACAAGAACACAAGGTGATGCTGCACCCCTCACAAAAGCTATATAGTGCACATTTAACGCAATAAGATTATGACTTTATGGAGCTTCAGGGATTACTACAAGATTACATATTCCAGAAGAGTCTGCGAAGAGAATACAGACTGAATGTGCAGGATCACCCAAAAGTGAAATTTTACTGATGAGGTAACAATATTATAACACTTACATCATCAAAATTATAACTGGTGTTCTGATGATACTTTTTATGTTCTCTCACAATCACTAAGTCCTATCCTATTTTTACTTGCCTGTGGCCTTAATGTTATACCTGACTAGCAAATTCAATATTGCTTCCTATTAAATGCCATGACTAGCTCTCCAAGACATAACAGTTCCGATTATGCCTTCCTGACTTTGTTCCTATTTTTAAATCGGGCTCTACTGTAACTTCAGCTGGTCATTCCCAGCAGGTATAGTGGTGACATCACAGGTTATTAGTGCAGTGTTCTGGTGCTGTCTCTGGTCTGGAGGCTTTGGGCACACCATCCATCACCATCTCTCTGGTGCTCTGCTCTGGGCTCTTCTCCCACCTCTCCCTCTGCCTCTGCCTGTGCCTGTGTCTATGAGCAGCCCTGACTGATGAACATGATCAGCTTTGCACCAGAACAATGGAGTTTCTAAATAGGACATGAGAGGCACTGAGGCTTCCCTGCTCATTCTGTGTGCAGCGTTTTGGCATTGCTCAAACCTGCTGTGCAATGAGCCACCTGCTTTAGGCGATAGTGAATTTGTGCACTTACTGTGGACTGTCAGACCCTAATGGTGGGTTAGGGGATGTGGGAATTTATATACAATTTCAAGTACAGAGTTATTGCTTTGCCTGGAATATTCCACCGTATGGCATTAAACTTATCTATCTCCATGGAGACAATCTGGGGATGGGGCCAGGTCAGATCTGCAGAGAGGCAACCGTGCTCACAGTAAGAATGCATGTTCTTAGGCAATAAAATAACCTGCAATTACGTAAATACAAGATGAACAAGAGGAGCCAAGAGGAACTTTACAAAGCAATAATATTTCCATGGAAACAAGAAGATGGGGGTCTCTAGGCCTGTCACAATAATTATTATATCAACTTATCGTTCAGTGTATGAAAGCTGGAACAATATTTTTGGGGTCAATATTTATTATGTGTACTTTTTGCAATAATGGGATTTTTTTTTTTTTTACTTTTTGGGTATATAATAAGATTTAAGACATAAAAAGTTGAATTAATAAGTTAAAAACTAGGCTAAAAAAGTGACTATTCTGTAAATAGAATAACTTATTTTACAGAAAACAGCATATATAATACTGTAGATCATATTTCTGTAATACAAGCACAATGCAAAGACATTTATCATTATACCTTGTGGCATCTTGCTCCTTTTACATTTCAACACTATTAATCTTCATCAAGCCAGTTTAGATTTCCATCGGTTGGGCTTGTTTGTTTGGCCAATTCCCAGTGCACTGGCAGGACGTCTTGCTACATCAATCATGACACTTATTGGGAGATTGCTAGATGTTGGCATTGGAGCAGGTGGCACCAAGCAGCTGCATTATGGCTGCCAGCCTGGCCCTTGGCATCACCTCTGCTCTGGGACGCCCTGGCCTGCTCTGCACCTGCTTTAGCAACCTGCCCCTGGAGCATTCTGCACCTGCACACACCAGCTCCCTGTCTGTGCACCTGTCTGCTGGCAACCCACAGCAACATAATAACCCCCTACCTGTTAATTAGCCAGCAACAACAGCCGCCCGCGTTCACTCGCCCGACCCCAGGCAAAATGTAAATGAATATGATCTTCACCAAGGACAAAGCTGTGCGCATTTATGTGTGAGGCTGTCTCTGGAACTGTTGCACTGTATACTTTACAAATCTGCACACAACATTCACTTCTGAACTGTTTAAAGAATGTATAGAATGATTTCATATTTGATGACTGCAAACACAGATTTTGATGACAATATATAACTGTACTGCAATGGACAAAAATGGGCAGCTGCTGATACAGGGATGGGTCATTTTGTAGCTTCATGGATATACTGCATATTTTACAACAGCAATTGATTATGTAGAGAATGTTGTCATTGTAGATCAAGAGATATTTTCAAACTCTTGAATGATAGATGGATCTTACAATATTGGCAAACTACTGTCTATCTAGTTGATGATACACTAAAACATATTCAGATCAGATTTTAATAAAGGCAGTGGCAACTATTTTCAAGCACATATATCTTATATGCAGTAAACATTGACCAACAACACCACTAGAGCAGGTAGACTTTGGAACAGGAAGTTACTGTTACACACTCTGCCTCTGATTAAGCAGTTTTTGGCTGGGCTAGCTGAATTTACCTCTGTGACTTCTCTTAACCTGCTGGTGGTCTATGAGCACAACTCATTATACACTATGTCCACTTGTCCAATCCCATCTCCAGCTGTTCAGTCATATATCACTAACAAACTAACAAACTAACTAACATAATGCTCAGTGATCACATATTGCTCAAACATTTCAGCTTTGAGATATGTTAAGAGGTACTCCCTAAACTAGAGAAATGTGTAACTCTAGGGCAGGACTTAAGACAGGTAAGGTATAGTACATAGTAGAGGACATTTGAGGGTGTACCTTTTCGTCTGGAGTCCCGTCTGAGAGTGCTGGGCCTGACCGCGGGCTGCAGCTCAGTCTCTGTGGACATGGTCAGACTCCCTCTGGGCTAAGCTCCTGTGCCTCTGCTCCGGTGGGGGTCCTGCAGGGGGGTCCTGCAGGGGGGTCCCGGTGACAGCGTCAGTGGAGGCTGTGTGGGCGCCGCGTGGGTGCGTGGAGGCGCCAGCTGTGTGAGCGGGCACAGGGGCGCATGGGAGAGGGCCGGGCCTCAGCCCTGACACAACCACCCACACCCAGCCACGGAGAGCTGTCAGAAAGAGAGAGAAAAAGTACTTCAGTTAGAATGCAATTTATTGGAATCACAGGTGGTGTCACAAGAAAAATCTGCACTTGAGAAAAGAAAATTATTACAACTATGATTGTTTACAGAACCAAAAGTAATATTTATGAGTCATTTGTAATTTCTTCAACCTCAAACCAAAATATTTTGTGTGCAAGCAAGGTCCCAGCAGGTAGAGAAACAAGCTGATTTCTGATAACACAGGTTGCCGTTGGTAACAGAGGTACGTTGTTCAACTGCTTGTCAATATTATACTGCAGAGCAAGGACAGCACATGGACCACTGTACGAGCTACTCTGTTTGATCATGTGTTTTCTTCTCATCAGTTGTCCTTAGTCTCACTCTACACTCATTTATGATGTAGTTTGTCATTGTGTTTTTTATCTCACTCCCAAAATCCAGCATACACACTCAGAACAAATGAGAACTTCATTTTTGGTAATTTTGGAAAAACCTATGGCAGGTTTTTGAGCCTACTAACTTGTAAAAAACAATACAAAAGTAATGAGTATTTTTTACACAGCTTGTAAAGAGAAAACATATTTAAGTGGTCAGCGGCACAGCTCCCTCTGAGACCCTGCACAGTGCCTGATTGGTCCCTCTGCCACACACTCTGGCCCTTCTCTGCGTCCCTTCTTTGCCCATCTGTTGCTCCTTGATTCTGAAGAGTAGACTGGCAGAGACTTCCATAAGCTCACAGCCAGGTCCACAGAGCTGAAGCATGAATGAAGTGGCACGCTCATTTGCATGCAAAAACAAAATGCAGACAAGTTCCTTTTTACTGGGAGGGACAGCTCTACAAAGAGGCCAGGAGACAGCTGCAGGTTGACGCGCTGCATAATGAATGTGACTGTCCCTCTCACCTCTGTCACACGAGCACTGCCACTACAATGTGCTCTGCTTCTGTCCAACACAGACAAAGACACACGCACACACACCGACACACACATACACACACTGTACAAGATCAATGCATGGACCAAGAATATATAAATGAAAAATAATCCATAAATTCTCTTTAAATTCTTCTATAGATTAACCTGTGGTTATATTTAATAATTTTATCAAATGATCTGAGTACTACAACAAAAGTTTTAAAAGTTGAAATAATAATATAATAATGCAATATATCAGTATATAAATCTAATACCCTTTCTTTAAACTGCACTAGTTCTCTCACAAATCCTTTAATCACACAAAGCGAAGTAAGAGTGGACAGTGCAAAAGATTTAATGCTAAATTAGATGCAGAATTTAAAAAGTCGGCAACAAAACTGGAACTAGAACCCAATAGATTAATTCATGCTGCTTAGACTTTCTTACATTATAGTGATATTTTGTTTATACAACACATTTCTTGAGAAATCATTGAGAAACTTTTTCTTCTTGTTTTTTTACATTATGGACTATAGGAGTCTCTTGGAGCCAGTGCTGCTGTCGGGGTCCCTCTCTCCCTGTGAATAGGAGGCCCCTGTATGAGCCTGGGGTGAAAACACATGAATTGAGAGGCTTTTAATTTGCTGCAGACAGAAGAGAACAGAGTCCATTTAATTCTGCCAGCAGAGGCCATGTCGGCAAAATGCTGACAATATTCTTTATCTGGTCCAAACACACTGGAAAAGTGTGAGTCACTCCAATTACAGGCATTATCAGCAGCACTGCTCCAGCAAATGGACAGAGAGAGAGTGTATATGAAGAGAGGAGGGTTAGAGGCAACCAGCAGAATAAAGCTCAAAGAGAGAGAGAGAGAGAGAGGGGAGAGAAAGAAGGACAGAAGATATAATCCAGGGCCAAAGAGGGAAAAGAAAAAACTGTGTGAAGACCAGTCAGAAGAGAATGGAGGGAGGTTTGAATCAACGCGGGCCTAACCCCCAGCATGTGCCCCTCTGCCCCCCTGCCTGACCCTTTTGTGTCATGGCGTCTGGCTGTGAAGTCTTTCAGTTTGCATCTGGGGCCTGGTTAAGTTGACTGTTAACTTGGACCAGTTCAAACCACCAATACCAGCAGGTCACATTCTACTTGAACAAAGTATGGCTGCAGATGAAACTCTTGGTCGACCAAAGACCCTGTGTGCAGAAGGAACTTTCCTCAAAATTATTAGGATCTCGTGTAAAAAGTACATCAACTACAAAGATGTGCTAGTAATTTACAAGTGAAAAGGCAGATGTCTGTCTAGTCACTCCCAAAACATGCTGATCAATAAATTCACTAAAGAACTAAAGGACCTGAGAATATAAACAATTAAGTATTCACAATGAGACTATAGTTTAAGTTCTGTTTGGATATAGTTTTGGGTATCATGAACAACATTTTACATCTCCTGAAAATGGTCATATTGAAGTATTTAACACAATTTTCTCAGCAGAAAGATATTTCTATTGTGGTTCATTTTGTACAAAACTTTTCATGACTCACAATCCCAAAGCACAAACAAACTACTTCCTGTTCGTCAGCCAATCACAGCATGTCATCACAGCTGCCACAACATTCACTGCTCTGCTGTCATGTATACTGCTACAACTCTTTTGCTTCATCTCTTCATTGCCATCATCAATGTGCATATACCTTGTATAGCTATAACCTCTGACTATGATCTAAAAAGCAATGTAAATTCTATGTCAAAAACATCAACAACTTGTCCTGATGCATAAAATTATGAATAAAATACCAATAGCAGTACCACCCAGTTCACTCCAGCTGACCACTGCAGAAGACCTAATCATCCATACAAGTATCTGACCATAAAACCTTAAAACATGATGCTGTATAAAGACTCTTTTATTCCCCAGGCACTGTCCCAGAGTGATACTACCAAATGAAGTAGTTTCATGCCAGACTTTGGACTCCTTGAGAAGACAGCTGACAAAACCTTAAATTCATGTTCAACCAGAGCCAGAACTCTCTTGAAATTAAGGTTAAGGTTAAGGTACACTTTACTGTCCCCATAGATACATTTGTCCTTGGTATATGACCCATCCTTCAATGCCGCTGGATCATCTCATCAGGATCAGTGGAGACCCAGCTCCATGATCTTGTTGCAAGGCTTGGTCAGGATTACTTTAGCTTGAGGACTATACTAGGGATGCACCAATCCGATAAAGGTTATCAATATAAAAAATTAGCTGGATCAGATATCAACTTCCAAATATCGGTTCAGTTGATATCCTGGTTGGACGTATAAATTGACGAAATAAAACTATTTGCTGGTTGGCCTAAAAAAAATTTTAATTTGTATTTATACTAAGATGTTCAGTAGTTAATCTTGTTTAAAGGAATGCTGTTTTTAGTGTCTACACTTATATTGGCTGATATTGGGTATCGGCAGACACTTAGAGCTACAGTATTAAAATTGTGGTATATTGAACTTTCAGGGCCACCGTAGTTGTAGTTGGAGTGAATTGCGCATGCCAGAGTGCGAGCTCTCAAGCATTGATTTGTAATGGTAACGTGTTATAAAGAAGCCCCCAGTAAAGTTGTTAAATGCGTGCAGCCGACTCGTTATTAATACACCACATAATTTTGGCGACGAGGTAAAGTGACTGTAGTGAGCAGTGACAGCTGAAGATGGCAAACTTCGCCAAGCTGGACGAATTCAGGCCCAAAAATGAACAGTGGACAGCCTACGTCGAGCGAATGGAACTTTTTTTTGAAGCACATGATATCAAAGACGATAAACAGGTGGCTACTCTGCTAATGGTATTGAAACTGAAAACAGTGGATCAGAGCATCTCTAGTTTTTACCTATGGTGCATGTTTTGGGTCCCACTAATACATGGAAACCAGCATGGATTGTAATAAGGTCAATCCCAAGTAACCTATAATGTAAAGCACTTCCACAATATTGCCATACAGGCTCGTACAAACACATTTCTCCAAGTGTAAAATCAAGGAAAGGAGAAAAGTATAGTCCATTTTCTGCCAGCAAAAAAGCCCACTACTCACCCTCTCCCTGTGCTGTGAATGAGCAACGAATGAAATTGTACGGCTGAAAATGAAAAATGCACCGCAATACCTCTCTCCAGATGACTGCCAGGCCCCAGACATATGGTTGTTTCTCCGGAGACTGGGGCTGAGAGCGCTACATCTAAGCTAACGTCCCTACGGATAGAAAAAGCTAATTTCTCAAATAAAAAAACATGTCAAGCTTGAGCTGTACAAAATTCCCTAACAGACTGATAGGAGCGGTGCCATCCAAAAAGAAAAAAAAAAGAAAAAAAAAAGAAAAACCTGACCTGGAATCTGCGCTAAAAGTAGCAGCAGGAAAAGGATGTGAACATGGCTTAGCACTTCTGGATTTAGACGACAAGCTGAAGTCGAACCAGAGGCGACACGGGCTGGAGGGAGAGGAGGAGGAGAGGAGGAGGGAGGAGGGAGAGAGAAGGAGGGAGAGAAAGGAAGGAAGAGTAAATTGGACAGCCTTAAATGGGGCGATGCCAAGAGGCGCAAGTGGGAGATGTGTGTGTGACTCAACAAACAGGACGCTGCCAACAGGAGCTTAATGCCCAGAAATCATGTGCAGCTACAGTGGAGCGTGCCAGCAACATGGAAGAAGTAAGAGAGAAGAAGAGAGAGAGGAAGAGAGAGAGAGGTGGGGTCTTCATTGTAATTGTATTCTGTCCATCATTCTGTCTTAGATTAGCTGCTCCTCTCCTCCATCAGGATAATGTCTAATCATGAAGAACAGCTCCAGTTCACCTCACACTGCCACTGGCTTCTCCAGGTCCTCACCACTCGGGAGCATCGCACAACTGCTGATTTCACATTAGCATTTTATAGTCATGGGTAACAAGAGGGTTTGATGAAGACACTTAATCACAACTACTATCAGTGAGGTCTGCTGTTAAATAAGTGCCTTAAAGAGGGACTGCGCAACTTTTCTGCTTGTCTCCATGGAGATGTTATTGCTTTGCTTGGTATAACATTAAACATATAGATATATATACTAGAGCATTGAAATCTGACTGAAGT